TTTTTGCAGAGATTTTAAATTCTTCTAATTCGTAGGATTCGCACTTCTAAATAACTACAACAAAATTGGAGTTGATTTGTCAAGTAGTCTTGAAAACACGTGTTTCACGGCCGTCACTACTAGTTTATTGAGCAATATACAGGGGTAGTTCAAAGGGCATTTTATAGCAAAATAGATTAGCTTACCTTGCCGATATGAATCGCTAACCATTTCGGAAGATAAATGTAATTTTTTTGCAAAAAAGGATGGGTTACGTTTTTTCTTCTAAACAAATTCAAACCTTTCGTATTTGTGGGTAATTCGCAACAAAACATTATAGACATCCGCTTTGTTTTAAAATATGTATAGTAAAAATCTTTGGAAAGTTTTTTCGTTCCTGTCAACACTTTCGATTGAGTCCCAAAGGACACGTTTGCTCATTCTTTGTTGTCAAAAACGTTTACTACAAAAATTGATATACCCATTTTATGTGTCCATGTGTTAAATCACCAATAAAACCAGACTTTACAATTATTTCGGAGAAATTTGCTAATATGATTATCGTTGTTTTGCTGTGCTTTTATGGGAATTCCTCTATTTTTATATTGGAAAATGCCAAGTGATGGAAAAAATTGCTGACAGATGTCCAATACATACATGCTGACATGTGGCTGTCGCGAGCTTGTTTAGACATCATTTAGTTACTCTTTCATAAAATCATACCAATGCATTTATTTTTTTTGAGAAAATTAACGATTTCTGTCGGACTGCCGAAAAAATCCCTCTAACGGCCACGCGAAACTAAAAACACTTCAAATATTATAGCATTTGTAGCCTCTTTTCAACTAGCCCAAGCTTGTTAAAGTCGGCTCAGCTGTTTCGAAGATACAGTGTGTTTTTGAGGAAATCTTTGAATACCCCCCACCACTTTATTTTTAGAGATACAGCATAAATTGTCCAACAAAAAAGGTTCAGATTATCCTCGAATTTAAAGATCAGGTAAGTTTTGTTAGGTTAATATATCGGAATTTACAGAAACATCACTTTCCTAGATCCAAGACTGCAGTTACGCCCCTAGCGGCTATTTCAGAAAACTGAAAATATTTTAGAGGTTTTTGTCTTGGCCGATTTAGTAAAAATTTTTTTTGCCGTAAGCCTCTGCGATGGATAGATTTACAGATACAGTACTTCGCATTCTTAGTTGGCCACCCTGTACAATGCCGAGAAGCGATTTTTATAAAATTGCAATGTTTCAATCTCCCTAGGAGCTTTTTTATCGCGTTCAAAGATTATCAGACGTCCTTGACATAGAACTTCGTTTAAAAAATGAACTTTTATTTAATGCTTTGTTCAGTATTATACTCACTATCATCGGTTTATCACCTGAACTCTAGAGATATTCCGTCAAGAAATCACAATCTCAAAATGTAATTTTTCATGACCGGAATATTAGTTGAGAAAGAATTACGACCAATTTAGGTTAATAGGTAGCGCGCCCAGGACCAATCTGCCTTTAAGAAGTAAAACGATTGGCGGCTTCAAATTTTAATAGCGCCATTATACGCGTGCTTTTTTCTTCGAAGCTATATATTTCCTCCATTTTTAATAGCTTTTTAAAATTCTGAACACGGCGGCTTTGATAGGTTGGCCCTGCTCTGCAATGGATGACCGTCAAAATGGTGCATCATATACAGATGATTCGAGATTTTTTTAATAGAAGAATAGGTACACAACAAAAAAAAACTCGACACCTTTTCAAAAAAGCTTTATTGTACGTGTTTTTATACTTTCAGTTCTAGACTTTCTCTACGTGGTTAGGAGGTTGTTTCAGATTTGAGATTATTGCTTTGGAAGGATGAAACAGGATCTTTATGTCTTACTAATTATTCAAATTGAATATTTACTCGATGTTTGTTAAAGAATAAGCATTCTGCGATTTTATGTCTTCAAAGATTGTATTACGCAGAATTTGTGCTGCTACAGTGAGAAACTGTTATTTTCAGTAAGATATTCAGTTAAGGATGCCCCACACTGACGCGGTAAGGCGATAGCGATAATCGCAGCGCTGTCCGTGCGCTGCTCAGTTTTCAGAGCGGTAAATAATACCGATCACCCCAGCGCCGTGGGGTGGCCCGCGGTTTATTGCCTTGACAGCGTTTCATTTCAGAAACGCAGCTGACGCGGTTCGTATCGCATATCGCCACGTTTTTCATGATGTCCACAATGGAGAAATTAATTGAACAAGTTAAGAAGTACCCAATACTGTACGATTCAAGTCTCGAAGACCATAACATTCGACAGTATACGTTAAAACGTTGTGGATCCCTAGATAATTTCATCAATCATTAAGGTATGATATTCTCCATATATCTTTCTTAGTTTCTTGATGTCATGTATCCATTTCTTCTTTTTTCTGAAACATAATTATCAATTATTATTAAATAAAGTCCTCTGGAACCCATGGCTTCTGTTACATCGTCCTTCCAGCTTCGGGGAGGGGGCAGATATTTTTAAAAAATCGGGAAAAGGTTGTCAGAAAATATAAAAAACGCGGAGAAATTAAATTATAGTAAGACCAGATTATATAACTCATTATATCTGGAACCGACCGATACGCATGAAATAAAGACAATAATCAATGAATTGAAATTAAGAAAATCTCCAGGTCTAGATAATATAACAGCATACACTCTCAATAGAATAAATTCCAACATCTGCGGCATACTGTCATATTTGATAAATTCTTGTAGGAATAAAGGAATATTCCCTTCATGTTTAAAACACGCTATGGTAAAACCATTATTTAAATCTGGAGAAAGAGAAAAACCCATCAACTAACGACCGATTTCCATCTTAACAAATTTTTCTGAAATATTTGAAAAAGTGTTAAAAAAACGATTCACCGAATTTGCAAAAAATATAACTTAATAGCGGAACAGCAATATGGTTTTCAAGAAGGCAAATCTGCGCAAGATGCTATTGTAAAATTAACAAGTAATATATACACGAATCTCGATATTGGCAAACCAACCGCATGTGTTTTTGTTGACTTGGCAAAGGCAATCGCTTTTAACAACTTTAGAAAACTTCTTCTTCCGGGGAATAACATACAAACTTATAGAAAATTATTTGTCAAATCGAACACAATGCGTCAAAATTAATAACACATTCAGTGAACCCCATATTATATCATACGGTGTACCTCAAGGCTCAGTATTACGACCCATTTTATTTAATCTATTTATCAACGATTTGTTCAAAATAAGTAGTACTGGTAAAGTTACCGGTTTTGCGGATGATACAGCTATTCTCTATAAAAGCAACCAGTGGCATACACTAAAAACCACAATCGAACATGATTTCAAAACATTTATAAATTTCTTTTCGTAAAGAACTATGACAATTAATTACAATAAAACCCACTATATAGTATTTTCTTCTAACGACAGGCTCTCACCACAATTTAAAAAACTTGAAGTTCATACAAGCAGTGGTCTCAAAGAGATTCAGTCAGCCGATAAAATAAAATACTTAGGCTTGATTTTGGACAAACACTTAAAATGGGATACCCATACCTTGTGAAGAGACTGATATGTATTATTCCAAAATTCAGGTACTTCAGAGATATTCTAGATAAGAAATATCTATATAATCTATATTATGCTCTTGTTTATTCTGTATTACTTTACGGAATTTTGGCTTGGGGGGAGTTATGAATACTAATTACAAAAAGGATGATGTAATCCAAAAATTAATTCTAAAATTGATCCTCCACAGGGAGATTACTTATTCAAGTGATTTTCTATATGTGGAGGCTCAGCTATTAGATTGCAGACAAATTTATTTTTATTGTGGTCTAATACATTGTTTCAAATATTCGAAATACTTGGATCGTACCATTCATAACTACCCAACACCCAACAAGATTCAATCAAAATTCAATGTCTATTCCACAAACATCAAAATTCTATAACTTCATATCAGAGTCATTAAAAGTAATTAAATCAAATAAATCATTTAAAAAAGAACTAAAAAAATGGATTTTACAACAACCAAGGTACTCCATCCACGAAATTGTAGATCTGAAAAATCATTATCAAAATCAATAATATTTTACTTACACTGTAGTTATAATTGTCTGGATATTTTTCCTGACATTGCCATTCCTGACATTACAATAATTCACCAAATTATACAGTATTAACGGTTTTTTTATTTTTTCATACACTAGGTATTCGTTTTTATTTTGAACAAACCCAAACACAAGTGCAAACTTTTTTTGGGTGCTTTATGATTATTGTGCACAATATTTGATATTTACCTGTATTTTGTGATAATAAACATTATTATTATTATTATATCCCCTGAACAACTTTATCTAATATTGTACTTCTTGTTACATCTCCGCAAGGAAATCGTACGGTGATGATTCGGTAGGTTACGTCCAATTCAAACAAGCCGATCTGCACAGTAAAATGTAAAATATGTCCCGAACATAAGGTATGCCCCTTATCGACATAGATGGCTCTGTATGTACTAAAGCGGTGTTGCCGAACTGCCAGAAAACGTTTGGAAAACGCCACATTTATACAGAGCTGCAATAAAGATAGGTACTATATTTATCATGTAAACTAGTAGACAGTCATGTTTATAAGTTTAAAAGTTTTAGAGCGTCAGCTGCTGTTCACAGATGGTATGACGTTAGAGCTCAATGATCGCCGAAGAAAATAATATAGTGTCAATTTTTTTGGTCTAACAGGACAAATATAAACTATTTGAGACCTGCTTAAAAAAGTGCTAACCAGCCTCTTTGCCAAGATTCCAAACACTACCTGCCTAGATACAAATGATACAAATATGAAGGTTAAATCTATTTCATCTCAGTATGTAAATGCCTACAAAGCAAAAGCAGTTCTCATAAACATTTGGCGTATATGCCGACGATGGGTACGACCTAACCTATCTGCTGCGTTCTGCGGCGGGCATCCACCTGCCCTTACAAATTAATCTCTTGGTCGTACCGTTGGCAATCCAGCGATCGGAAACGGTCTTCAGCTCATGTATATTTATGGGTCTAGAGGTCGTACCGCTGCTGTTGTGCTGTTGGTCGTACCTTGGGCGATATGCCGCCATGCCGCAGGCCGCTATTGTTCCGATGCGATCATTCCTAGACAGCCTGAGAAATAATGGTTTATAGAGAGGGTATGCTGGATTAACATCTGCTGTGTTACTTACAAGTAGTACTTCCGTTTAGACTAAACGGTTCAGTTACAAGTTATACACAAGACACTCTCCTCTTTGAATTATTAGGTTAGAAAGCCGATAACTTTGGTGTTGTTAAAAGTGATTTTACTTTCTACGCCGACTGGCGAGTATTGTAATCGCAAAAATTCCAAAAATGAGATATTATGTTTTAGGACGTTATATGCCATATATATATATATATATATATATATATATATATATATCACGAAAAACCATGTCACTCGTTTCCGTCGGTTTGGCTGTCTCTGTGTCCGCAAATCTCTGGCCCTTTTATAGCTTGGTAAGTACAATGTTATTGTGCCAAGGACGAGAAAGCTTTCTTTGCAGATTTTGAAATTTTTAGAATTTGTGGCTTGGGGATGTAGGGAGTGGAGGTATATTTAAATTTTTTGTCGGTAGTTTATGTATACGCTTCCAACTGCCCTAATTCTACGCTCACATTAGTACATATATCATGCGCCACAGATTTCCCCGTACCTTTATTTGCTCTTGGAAGTTGGAGAGATATCAACTGGACGTGTCGCGTCTAGGTCGCACTTGTCGTACGCTACGAACTTACACGGATATCCACAAAATCCTATCTGCGAGTGTCGCCTAATTTCTCTCATCGCCACAGTACTCCAGCTGGCCAAAATAGCAGGGCTGACGTTGTCAGATTGTTGATATTTTCAGTAAGGGCAAGAAAGAAGCTTGTAGATCGTATCATTGTCAAATAGGTGAGACTATGGTATTGTATTGGCCTGTTTGACCTATTTAATCCATGTAATTATTTTTTTGTGTTATATATGTTGGTAACTAACTTTTTTCTTATAAAAATAATAATCCTTTATGAACTGAAATATACTTTAAGTTTTTAATGAGAAAGGTTTTTACATATCTGCCTCTGGGGCCGTCTCTCACCCTCCTGCAATACGGCTGGCATCAGGACTACAGACTGGCGTTCACAGTATCCCACCTATCACTTTTTGTGAGTTCTGTTGTGGTTGTTTTCCAACCAGCAAATTGAGACTAGGTAGAAGGAGACAGTCAAATATCTGTCTCCTAATTCTCATAGTCTGCACTGAGGAGTAAAGTGCATATTACAAGTGTACTCTTCACATAAGTTAATTTCTGTCATTAAATTCATATTTTTGTGTTATTTTTAAGAAGCTTGAGTGTTTGCAGATAATTGTAGACGTAAATGGTACTTCCTGCATAATTTGCACAGAGCAGCATATACCTAGTGAAGGTAGATGTTTCCACCGGTAATTATTATTATCATGTTGATTCATCGCTATCACTTTGGTAGGCATTGGTAGTCAAATGAGTCAAAAGTATGTACTGAAACTACACCATTTTGACGACAAACAGTGCAATGTAAACATATAGGCTTGGCTTTTAACTTATTGGAATTCGTTGTTCTGGTCCTATTCAGAATATCAAGTCATCGTAGGTTGTCGGTGTGGTCCGCAGATTTTGTGTCACGATATTTGGTATCAGTTCGTAAGGCTATGAGGTCTCGTAACTGGCACGTTTATGAACTCGCTGATTTTTACTTCCCACACCACTGGTGAGGAAGCACTGTAATTGTAAAAAAATCAATATTTCGTTTTTTGAATGTTGTATGACATGTAGCTCGGAACACTGTGTCACTCATTTGTAGCTTTTGCCAAAATAGACCCAGTGGCAATGGAGCTTCAGGCATAAAATGAGGAAAATAAAAACCGCTCAAACTTCGTTTTCTGATGTTTCAGAGGGTCCAATTTTTTGACGTTTTCATTTTTGACCCAACCCGCATCTGTTAGTATTAGATATATGACAATCATTGTAGATTTGACCATATATTTCCCCCTAAAACTTGGAATTATGAATATTATCAAGGCATCTCTGGATGCACCAGAGTTGGGGTCTGATCGATACGAGTATCCGACCGATGGGTGACTGGCGAGTGGCGACATTCGTCATAGTATTGCGAAATGGCCGGTATGTCACTTTAAATCAGAACGTTGGCAAAAGGCTGTGGATTATGGACTAATTGTATGGGCCTGGGTGACTGACTTGATCCATTCAATTTTTTGTCATGCATGTTTGATGATAGCTTTTTTCTTAGAGGAGCCAACTTGTGCCAAACACAATGCTTTACAAAATGATGGCGAAGCGTGCAGAGCCAACCTACTTGACGCCATTTTTCTAAATTACACCGGTCATTTTTCTTATTCAAAGATCGTGACCTTAGATCCCTAAAAAATAACTAAATGAAGCTGTGCACTAATGGTTGAAATACCAATACCTGTTCCCCGTACAAGAGCTATCAATGAAACCCGAGAGCTTCGTCACGGATACTTTTATACGGTCCTTTGTATGTCTGAGATTCAATGGGTCGCAGGATTAGGTTACGCATTAAGGATCATTATCGTGCATATAGACTTTCGTCCTCAGCCCTAACTTTGATAAATGATCCGAGGTCAGGGTATGCTCCACCTGTGTGGTGCATTTCATAAATTCTCAAAATTGTGTCAAAGTAGAATCCAGCGCCAGATTGCCTGCATTTCTGATACGCCAATAGGTCCGTAGTTCAAACATAATGTATATCAAAATCGTTATTGGAGAAATACGTAAAATATTTTTTTTCCAAATATAATTGCAATTTTATTTTGTCACACTTGAAAAGGCTTCCTTCTGAAGCCACACAGTGGTGGAGACGGTTCTTCCACTCTTCATAGCAGTGCTGGAATTCCGATACTGGAATAGCCGGCAGCTGGTCGGTCACAGCAGTTTGACTGTTTTTGACTGTCCCAAAATGAGTTTCCTTGAGGTGATTTTGCAACTTCGGGAAGAGAAAAAATCACGTGGATTCAAGTGAGACGAATAAGGAGGCTGAGGAGCCAAAGGAATGTTTTTACTGATCAAAAACTGGTTTATTGACATTGCTGTATGACAAGGAGCATTATCTTGATGCAACACCCAGTTGTTCTTGATCTGGTGAACGGTGGTGGCAATTTAACTCTTCGTTGATCATTCTGACTGTCAACTGATGATCTGAACCTACAAGATCCCCGATTCTGTCGATATTTACATCGGTTCTTGAAGATGAATGTCTTCCCTTTCGTGGTTCATCTTCAAAAGACTCTCTTCCTTCTGAAAAGGACTTAAACCACCGAAAAACTTGCGCTCTCCACAAAGCACTATCACAGTAGGCCTGCTAAAGCTTAGCAAGTCTTTCCGTTGCGCTGTGACCCAGTCTTAAATAAAACCTGATAGCATACCGTTGCTCGAAATTGATGTCAGTCATTTTTAGAACACAATAGAAAAAACTGTTTCACAAAAAATATTGCTACGGACAACGAAATGACTCAAGCGGGTTCAAACTTGTACTGAAGGCGAATCACATGTTCCCCTGTCTGCTCTCCAATTACGGCGATTCCAGTGTTGCCAGATCGAACGCTACGTTGTCAATCTCATTACCTAACTTACTGACCTTGTAGGGCTGCCTACTACTAGCTTGTAGCAAATACGTTCAGTTTCAGTTCGAAGATAACGACCTTTTGTCATATTCTATAACTACTGACAAATTCTGCTGATATTGACCTAGCATATACCGTGGGTAGCTGTGCGAAAGATTCAATTCATCAATTACAGTTTTATGAACGAATTCAATAGGAATTGTCAATATTTTGATCCTGCTAACAAAAGAATGATCAAAGAAGCAAGACCTATAATATACCGGATGACTCATTCGATAGCGCCGATATTATAAAAGGTATTTAAAAAAAATGTAGACAACTATACGGTCCTTACGTGAAAAATTATGTCGCTCTTTACGGTGTGCGATTCATGTCTATGAGTCAACATATACATAGGCAGCAGCGGTGGCCGCAGTAGTAGACTCTTCGGTCTCCTGATCAGTCGCCGTGCGCTGTGCGGGTTCGAGTCCCGTCCCAGGAGAAATTTTTCTCTTGGCTATGGATGTTGTGATTGTCCGTAGGTGGTAGATGGACTCTGACTGTCGAACGTGGAGGTACCACCAGGCGGATCTCGTAGGCGGAGCCAGAATGTGTGCATGTTGCATGCACAAGTGTTCCCTCGCCAGAGTCCGTGTGGCGTTCCCCCTTTCCCCTGTATCCCCCTATAGCCCCACGGTACCCAATGGGTGTTTAGGCTTTAGGCCTTCGTGGTAGTTGGAGTATAAAAAATATATATATATATATATATATATATATATATATATATATATATATATACTTTTTTAGATGGAGTTCTCGGTTCTCGGTATCTTTTATTTCGAAAGAAGAAGATTCATATAGCATACTATAAGGGCTTGGATCACTACTTGTGTAGCTATTGGATATTTTGTCGAAAAAAAAAAACACCGAACTTGTACAGCTTGTAAATGTAAAATAATTTTTGCAGACAGTGTAGCATACTTTTTTCAAAGTGAGCTTCACATACAATAGAGCTCCACGTAGTCATGGAGAGCGAGGCCTTTTAGTACTGTCAATGAAGGTTAGTAGCCATCCACTGAGAATATTTCCTATCCAGGAATAAAGTCGTATTTATTTATTTGGAACTTTATTTTTTTGTAAACTGTAAATAACTCAAATACTTAGTAACTTTACCCCTCAAAAATCTTGTTCCAAAATAAATCTTATGAAAGGGATAAGCTTAAACAGTGAAAATGTACAGGGCCTTATATAAATTTTTTGAGAAAAGTACATTTTTTGTTTATACCCTCTAGAAGCACAACATTTTTAAAATGAATTTAAATAATGAAAAACCTTGGCATATGATGCTCATTTTATAGAAAATTTTCTACTCTATCTGCAAAAGTGATTAACTTACAAACTACTAAAGGAGAGTGTTTTTTAGAACAAAGCATCCATTACTCCAGAACAAGCGATCCAAAACTTGTAGTATGTTACATCAAGTTTCTTCATTTGAAGCGACATTCCGAATGGGCTAAAATATCTATGGCATTACATCTAAAAAATGCATGTTTGTGTTTCCATGTAGTTATGAATCATCCTATAGAGAACGGCATAACTCCCAAGTAACTAGCTTATATTTGTACACAACTTTCGTAGATAGCTTTTTTAGATACCTTTTATAATAAAGGCGCTATCGATCAAGCATGCACTAAATACTCAACCCAAAGGTCGTAGCGTAGTGTGAATGAGAAATTGGGCGAGTTTGTCTAATGAACCTCAAAAGGTGCTGCAACTTGCATCTATAGGGTGTCCTAAAAGTGAGAACTTCTTTTTACATGGCATATAGATCTTGTAAAAATATTATCGAGATGTATGGCATAGCAAAATCAGTCAAACCTAAACAAAGCCAAATCCGGTCCTGCACGTCGATTAGTTCAAACAAGAATACGTACAATGTGCAACAGTACTCAATCCAGGCGTGACTGCCTTGGCAAACAAAACCTTTACATATCGGTTCTAAGAAAACTAAAACGGCACCCTCATACAGCAATATTGGAGTATCGATATTATTTTAATCTATGGTGAGTGTATTCGAAATGCTACCGAAGCTTCGCGAGCGCATGCAGATCATTCTTCAAGATCTTTGGTGATTTCTTTTTTTGTTTGGGGCGAATTGAAATGTTTAGTGTATAAAGCTGAGATTGACGAACTACGTGCGCGAATTTATTGATCTAAAAGCCTACACCGATGCTTGGCTACGTCGAACACATACCATGTGTCTTGGAATCTATTGCAGAAAAGTTTTAACAACACTTAAAGAGCTGATTTTTTACTTTTCCATCTGCTTTTTACTTCTTTGCCGTTGTTTCACTAAAGCATTGTTATTTCAAACGTAGCTGTTTCTGAACCTTTTACAACTTTCAGTACACCCTGTATATGTTGAACGAAACTGAATTCAAGGCATACTGGGATCGGACACACTATCACCTCAGAGGGAAGCTCAGAATAAACCTCCCTGGCGGTATTTTTTATTATTCATCTCGATAAAATGCATCCAATTATTATCGGTTCATAGACAGGCTACCCTCCAAACCAAACCACCCTCCCCATAAATATGTATATTTCCGTCTCATTTTTCGGTTGGCAGACCACGTCAATCTCATCATTCCCGTGACATGGACGGGGGCCCGCCGGTACAATGTCTTTCCCTCCCTTTTAGAGAAGGACAGGACAACACTGAAGAAAGCAACCGATAAAACGTCGTCTTTTTGGTCAATAATGGAAAGGAAGACAGAACAGAGAACATTTTCGTAAAATTCAATCCTAGCTATATCCATCAAATACGAGTACATTATAAACCATCATTAAAAAACGATAAAACTGTCAAATGGATAAAGAAAAAATTGAATTAGGGGGGGGGCTAATTTCTCTCAACGCCACAATACTAGAGCTGGCCAGCATAGCAGGGCCGACGTTGTCAGATTGTTGATATTTTCAGTAATTGCAAGGAAGAAGCTTGTAGATCGTAGAATTGTCAACTAGGTGGGACTATGGTCTAATTATATTGACCTGTTTGGCCTATTTAATCCATGTAATTATTTTTTTGTGTTATACGTGTTAGTAGCTAACTTTTTTCTTATAAAAATAAGAATCCTTTATAAACTGAAATATACTTTAAAATTGAAATGAGAAAGGTTTTTTACATATCTGCCTCTGGGGCCGTCTCTCACCCTCCTGCAAAAGGGCTGCCATCAGGAGTACGGACCCCCTTTTTAAGCAGTACAATTTTTTTATGTCAATGATTAGGAACCCCTGAAACGTCAAAAACGGAGTTTCCGCGATTTTTACTTTTTTTTGCCTATAGCGCCGTTGCCACTGGACTAAAACTACAAAGCTTTGGCATACTAGTAACCGCGTGTGGAAATTTCATAAAAATAAATTTGAGAAAGAACAATTTTACAATGTTACGAACACCGAAACCTGCAGAAAACAATCAATGCGGCTCATGTACACATTCCGATGTCGAACGGGGGCAGAATTGAGAAAATATTGCTAAGATGTATGTATACTGGTAGACAAAAGTAATATTAAATGTGCTTTTTCATTTTCACTTGGAACCAGAAAAAATTATACAATAGTAACAATTGGAAAGATGATTGTAAAAAAATTGAATCATGTTTGGGGGAAATATTGTCATAATAATATTGTCAACACTAGAGGAATAGAATCAACACCTTATTTGAAAAAACCTAGCTAATGATAGTACTAGGCGGTTGACTCAATCTAAAATAAATAACGTATACCTACCTATCATTATATACTGAAAGCTTGTTGATAAAACAGTGATAATGAAGTAAGTGAAATAAATGTTAATATAGATGATTTACTATAGCGGAATCTGTTACACAAACTTTATTCCCGGCAGTTCATATCTCGACTAGTTTAACCTTTACCTGCCATTTCATAAAAATAATATGATGTAATATTTCATGAATAAATCCCATCATTTTTATTTACCTTTCCCTAACTGACATATAAACGACTAGCGCGATATTGTGTTTTCACAGCACATCAAACTTTTTTCACGCTGTTTATACGATTCAAAAAATAATTTTGTCGGCTTTGCATAAGCACCATCAAATTATAAAATTTTACGCGTGTTTTGATGTTTTTACGGACGGACGTTCGTCCAACGCTTTTAAATACACTAAAAAGAAATTAATGCCGCGTTTTTAAATCATGAAGCTTAATCCGATGTAATATGCCCCATGGCAATTCTTCAAAATGTTCTGTCAGAACGGTCTGTTGGATCCTTGCACTTGATTAAAGTGTTGTAGGTCTGTAGATCTGCAGTTGAAATACCATTAAAGGTCGGAGAAAACTGAGGAAAGAGAAAAGGGAAGAAGAATGGAAGAAATGGCAATATTTTCACTTTACATGAAAATTAACTGTGGTAATCGTTAAACATTTCAAATTTGAGGTTCTGTTTACTCTTGGCGGTTCACGATGTAGACATCATGTGTCCTCTGGTCTGTATATTGTTGATTTTGAAGATATAGCTATTGAACCTCTACTGATCAAGAAGCACACCGCCACATAGCGGAGTTCTATCACCCTTACTGTGGTGCCTCGTGGTGAATGAACTCCTCGTTAGGCTCAGCAGTGCGGGTGTCTACGTGCAAGCATATGCTGATGGCGTAAGTATAGTAGTTAGAGGTCGTTTTTGTGGAACAGTCTCTGAGATTATGCAGGGCGCTTTGCGCGCTGTGGAATCAAGGTGTAGGGAAGTGGATCTTTCTGTCAACGCTGGAAAGATCGAGCTGATCCTATTCACTAGGAGAAGAAGGCTTGACGGTCTTGTCTTGCCGACCTTCTTTGGGAGTAGATTAGTTCGATCCCAGTCAGTAAAATATCTAGGAATTATCCTGGACTGTAAACTGAAAGCACGTTGGATTTAAGGTTAACAAGGTTCGCAATTCATTGTGGGCTTGTAGACGCGCTGTTGGTGTTAGGTGGGGGCTTATACCCAAGGTGGTTCACTGGCTCTACACGACAATAGTGCGTCCATCTCTCTTTTACGGCTCCTTGGTATGGTGGCCTTGCATTGGAAGTGAGACTACTAAGGCCCGCGCTAAGAGTTAGGAGGAACATGGAGAAGTGGATTGCAAGACAACTCTCTCAGAAATGGAGAAGCATTTCCAGATATCTACGTCAAGCACAGGAACTCATTGCATGGCCCAACGGTAAGGATGGACGTTTCTGCTTATCTTTGGATAGAGCCAACCTAAGGTTGCTGGTGGGACGGTTGTCTGGTCATAACACGTTAAGGCGCCACCTATACGTGATGGGGGTGGCTGTGGATCCTTGTATGAGCGCTGCGGGGTAGAAGGAGAGACCTCGGCGCACGATCTGTGTCGCTGCAAGGCTCTTAGCTACTACAGGCGGACTATACTGGGGAATTGGGGTCCATCACTTTGGACCCCAGGACATTAAGGGGCTTGGACTCAAGGCCATACTCAACTTCACTAGAATGGCGAGGCTTGAGGTCTGAGAAATGTGGAGGTGCACAGGGGCCCGTCTGAGTGGCCTATGCGCTGCCTTCTTATGGTGGCCGTTATGCCTCTAATTTCGTGTTTCATTCATTCATTCAGCTCATGAAGTAGCAGAAAGGAAAATAACTATTTATTGGGAAGAAATTCACATATTGACTTTCAAGCTAAACCGTAGTATATCTATATCAATTTTCATGGTACTAGTAGTATCTATATCATATAAAAAATAACTGGTGGGACAGGGAGCAAACAATCATCTACTGAAAAAGGTATAGGCGTTAAAAACTGAAATCCGCAGAACTAAACATCTAGTGTGATTTGTGAAACTTATTGTTTATGTAGTTTCTTTCTCATAATACAGTGATATAAAATTTTTTTGAAAACTTGAAATCGATATTTGTCGTTTTCGGATCTAAATAAAAACTTCCCAATTTTATACCCCTAACAAAATTTGATATTCTTAATTTTTATCGATTTTGAACTACTTTTATATGGGACCAAGTTTTACCAATTATTTGTCCCATTATCCATAAACGACCATTAACTAGAAGCGATTCTTTGTTTTAAATGCAGAAAGTATGGAAAGCGCTACCCGAAACTAAATAAGTCCATCACTTGATCATGTTTTCTGTACAAAAATAGTATTTTTTTTTCTAATAATAAAACCACCCGCATTCAACGCATTTACATATATAAATAAATTTGACATCACTTCAAACAAATGGGGATATATTCAAATACCACAAAGTCTGCATCAACATGCCTCTCCCTAGAAGATATATACTATGTTAAGCTCATCATTGGTATAAATTCATTGTAATAAAGATGGCTGCTTAAATTAAGCTTAAAATTTCCTCTTTCCAGAGTGTTTTATTGGGAGCAGCAAATAATAATCTAACCATGATTATGGGTCACTAGGCGCCTGATGCAGAATTTTGTTTGATCACCATAATTGATGTACTTCATAGCTACTACGCCAACAACGGCAATATTGGAATATGATTCTACCTGCGAAAATCACAAACGAAACTGAGGAGTTCGAAGCGCGTCCCTGTCACTGCATCTGTCGCATACACCCGAACATTCAAGAATGAAGCGCCAGGTCCTGCCGAGTCTGCAATTCAAATAAAAAGTTTAAGTGTTTTTATTAAAAGGTTTTATACTACCTTTAATTAAACTGGTTCCAGAAAATTCACTTTAGTTAAACCGAATAATTTAGTAACTTAGAATAATTAATAAAAGTATTACGCGAAAATTGTTTAATTGGCAACGTTTTCTCAGTGTTACATGTATGTCCTCACAAAGGGCATCCGCCACCGCATCAGGTAATTATAACGATTCAATTTCGATCGGCGGTGTACCCCGCGGGGCGGCGAGTCGCGCCATGCCGTATATATTACCGACCGGGTGCTAATTGCGCCATAAATCGGCCCCCTTCCTACCCAGCTTCACCCCCCACCTACTCTTGCCTCTTTACTAGTTTTAATTAGTTACACCGGTAAGTAGTAACTAACTGCGCGGCTTATGCTGCCAAGTGTTGGTTGAGGGCGATCACCTCCCAGGGTAGTACTTATAAGTATCAAAAGTAAAAGTGCAATAACAACAACAAATCGTATAAACATAAATATACATAGAGTCGAGAATGTTGGTTTTTTAACCTCGAGCAGTCGCGAAAACAAAATCTAAGTATTGGGGTAATGTAACTTCTAATAAGTTGCTGTCTTATGACAGCACAAGTCCGTGACTCGCACTGTGAACAATATTAAATCCTGCAATTCTGGACCCAGTCAAAATCACATTTGTTCCACTCATACAAATTCCTCGATTAATCCAATTCAAAATTACTGAATACTGGTTAACAACATTAAGGCCCTCCCTCCAACTGGATCTGATAGATCTACTGACCTACAATACCTTAATCAAGAGCAACGGTCCCACGGACCGCTCTGACGGACAATCACGAATAGAGAGACTTACGACAGTGGATCGTTGTACATTTTCGCTACGCTGGTAAGAAAACAGCGACCATGCCGGGCAGTTTTCGATACAGTGTTTATTAACACGCCAAATACTCGGCAGCCACTCATTTTTTTTTTTGTATAGTTTTAAAGACCTCAAATATGACCTTGGCAGATCTGTGTAGGGCTTGAAATTGTACATCAGAATGTATTTCCATACATGAGGACAAGTGGTCATAAGTAGTTCATCGGTATGACCCAATTGTACCGTACAAGGACAGACCACGCTTTTTCTTGAGAAAACAGTGCTTGAGCTATCGAAAGCAATTCCTTTAATCTCTGATATGACCTAAATAATTATCTCAGAGGTCTATTGTCGTATTACATGAATATAACGAAAAGCATGTCACTCATTTCCGTTGGCCTGACTGACCGTTGGTCCGTCCTTGAGAAGTACCGCGTTGATTTTGATGAAATTATAAGTTTTTTGAAATCGGTCTAGTGGCGGCGGGGAAAAAGCAAAAGAAATAGGTCTTGCTCAAACTTCGTTTTTTTGGCGTTCCAGAGGGTCCTGATCATTTTCAGAAACACTATTGTAGGGGTTGAAATTCGGGAGTTGGAGCTTGTAGGGGGTGTGTAGGGTATACACGTATGACAATTTTTTGACCTTAATATACTTACACTTTCCCAAGCCCGGTAATTCTATGCTCCTATTCGCCATATTCCACACATCCTTGTACATTTGCCTTTAGAGAAATGTTTTATATACAGGGTGACTTTGAAATTGAGTCATTAATTTTCAGATAATGATTGTAGAATGAAAATAAACCAAAATATATGTGCAAAAATAAAAAAAAATTAACAAAAAATGATACCTTGTTTTATAAAGTATCCTCCCGACAAGTATTTCAGTGCGGACCTGTATTTGTCACGAGCCTTTTGTACTACATTAACAAAGGCACGAGGGGTTGTTTGTACTAGATTGGAAAACCGATCCGCATAAATCCGTGATCCCGCGGCATCATTTTGTAAAGACTCCCCCCCCCCGTAAATAAGAATCATGTCCACAAGTTCAGTATTTTCCTAAACATGTGCCATTTTTTATTTCGTTTGAGCTACGCAACAAACACCACTATTCACTCACGCGTTACCGACTGACACATTGACTGAATACAACTGAATAAAATTGTAGTAAAAACATCGTGATAAGCGTTTCAAATTCTTTCGCTTTTTTGTTTCCGATGCGATGAACCGATAAGGCGGATTATATCCGTTGTTGCCAAACACGAGCACATAATATTATTATTGAGACAGGGCGGTACTCAAACTTCTAAAGGGTTATAACTTGGTTACTTTAATTTTACCACAAAAATGTTAAAGGAAAAAAACATTTCTTTTGATCAGATCTACTCACTGTTAGAATAAATGACTCAACTTCGAAGTCACCCTGTATACAGCGACCATGCACCAAGTGAACGATAGCTCCCTGCAGCGATGCCGCGCAGGTGTGGAAAGGGACGACGT